CCAAAAACCACATTGATATTGTCAATCAGAAACCTAAGCATCTTTTTAATATCAACTTCAGGTACTTGTGTGTATAATCAGAATGCTTTTTTAACAAAATAAATTTTCAAATGACCAATGACAAGGTAAGCATATTTACGAGTTCCATTTTTATTGAAAAAGCAACTGTCTATGATTCAAAAAGCCTGGACTTTAATTTATCGTGGGGAATGGTTGTATACAGAGTTATGTTTACGTTATTGACTTTTTGGGGGAATTTTTAAGTATCGACATCTGATTTACACCACTTCTTATATATATATATATATATATATATATATATATATATATATATATATATATATATATATATATATATATATATATATATATATATATATATAAATTGTAAATCTTGTATTGATGTTTATAAATACACACCCATCATACCCTCCGTGTACTCTTGTAACTCCCTACCCCACCTTTGGCTCAGGTGAACTAAAAAGGATTAATTGTACCGGTTCAATACAGTTTGGCAGCTGTTTAATCGAAATCCACCCAAGTCGACTTTGGAAGAACAAAAAGGAGTACGAAAGGATCCAAGAGGGAAATCATCAGAACACAAAAAGACCCATTTTAACTATCGAACTTCACATTTTCTCGACATTTTTTTCTTTTTCATCTTTCAATGATGTGTTGCGTGATAATTTAAATTTTATAACACTGATTACTCAGCCAATTACACCAAGGTTATTTCAGTTCCCTCCAAGTAGTTGGCATTTTTTTTTTTGGTCTACAGTTGTATAATTTTAAGTATCCAGACAATATCCTGCATGGTGAAATTTTTTGTTAAACTTCTTTGGAGTGATATTTAAGGAATAAAATAATAATGTGATATTTTGATATTTATATATATGTCATTAACTTGACATTTACTACCTCTAACACGGAAATAATTAATCAGTAATGTATGACTATTTTAAGCGTGTTTCTAAAATAAATATATGTATATATTTACATGTATTTCTCACAACATTATAGATATATATTTAATATGTCAATCACATGGCCCCACTTAGGGCAATATACAGAAAGGTGATTATTGGTACTAATTTTCTAAAAAAAAAATTTTTAGTATGTATAATAATGCAAAGAAATGTATCCGCCAGGATGGCAATTTGTAAAGGTATATTTAAAGTAATGTTGGCGTACGTCAAGGTGAGCACTTATCACCTGTCCTGTTTTCGATTCTTAGATCACTAAATTTTTTGCGACACCTTATTTTTACGAGATTGGTATTTGGCGTACGTCAAGGTGAGAACTTATCACCTGTCCTCTTTTCGATATTTAGATCACTAAATTTTCGCGACACCTTATTTTCACGTGATTGGTATTTGATATTTGGTATTTTTAAGCGAAGCAAAAATTTCACAAATTCTGCTCATTGGTAAATATTGGTAAATATAATCTAAACTAATAAAAATATACGCGAGAATGAAATTTTCACGAACAGACAGTCTTATGCGCAAAAATAAAGTTCTTGTGAATAGAGAGTAATATCAGTATTTCTGAATGACTTTGTTGATTTTATTTCAAGGGCATATGATGGTTTAACAAATGTTACATAAGTTGTACTTTTTTTTTTGCTTAGTACAGAAGAGATTAACATATTTTTGAAACGTGTTACTTTAGCTCATGATACTGTAATCTTGGCAGAGACGGTACTTCATTTACAACCTGCTTTAAATGCAATGTTCTTGTATTGTATACCTTGGAAGTGACAGGCTAATGCATCTAAAACAAAAGTCGTTATTTTTAATAAATTCATCGACAGTCTTTATGTTTCATAACAAAAACTTATCTGTTGATGACGAATTTGTTTACTTAGGTGTATCTATTTCTAGCAATGGATCTTTTGTTAGTAATAACACTCTGTTACTTGAACAAGGTAGAAAAGCAATGTTTAGATTTGCATTTTACGGAAGCGTATTAGTGCCACGTAATATTTTTTGAAGTTGGTAATTCCAACTTTAAAATTGGAAATTCCAACTTTAAAGTTCGCTTTTCCAACTTTAAAGTTGAAAATTCCAACTTAAAGTTGGCTTTTCAAACTTTAAAGTTGGTTATCCAACTTTAACCTTAGCTTTTCCAACTTTGAATTTGAGCTTTTCTATCCCCCCCCCACCTTTTTAAAAACTTTTCCCCCTTATTTTAAATTATTACCAACTTTATGAATGCAAAATTATACACTGAAATAGATTGGTGAGCAATTAATCTGTGTCAATTATTTTTTAACTTTGATTATTAACGCGAAACGAGATGGAGATGGAGATTGACATCTGATTATAATTATAATACATGTGCATGTATTTATATGTAAGTGTCTCACTCTCCAAGTTTATCGAGTTTGATTCCAAAACATTAAAGCACTCATCTGCAGGACATCAGTAAATGTGTTGGAGATTAAGCTTTCCCTTGCTTAACTGTAAACTTTGTTTTTATGATTAGGAGGATTTGATTGTATATTGGAAAACTTTAAACTTTATTTATGTATGGGCTATTCTCTTCCAAAACAAACTTTCTATACCCCCGGGCCAACATATACCGATCTCCTGAGTTTTCATTAATTGTCCAGTAACTTGAATACTGTTTAGATCCCAAATCATCGTACTTTTCATTATGCCCAGTCATGAACTGCACGCAGTGTTACCCCTTTTTGTCTGTCACCCGTCTGTCCTCCCATTCTTCCGTAATGGCAGTTTTTTCCCAGACCTGCAGATACTGAGCTGATTTTGGTGTAAGGCTTTATACAGATCAAGTACACAGCTATTCACCTACCACAACAGAGTTATGGCCCTTGATTTTTTTTAATTTTATTCTACTTTCGAGAGAAGTTATTTCCCTTGAATTATTCACTGTTAATAATTTTTACTGTGCTTTGTTTCCTCCATGTATAATCAATAGATTCCTGCTAAATCGTTGATTGGCTTTAAACAGAGTTGTTGTCCTTGGTTATTTTCTCATACCCCCCCCCCCTCCTCTATCAGTTTATTTTTCTTTATTATATGATTATTAAAATGCCATTCTATGGATCCTTCACAGGTCTTATATATATTTAAACCTGTTATTTGCTTTCATTTTTTTTTTGGCCTACACCATCTATTTTCATGTAATGTTACCATAATAGCATATGATTAACAATAACATGAAGACATTTACAGGAGTGTTATTATTGTTTGATTGCTTTATTTTTACACATATTAAACAAGCACTGTGTTTGATATAAAAAGATTTACATAAATAGATACATCTCCATCATTGTTAACAAATGCACAACTGGTGCAGAACAGCAGTAGAAAAAAAAAGTTCCTATCATTTCCATGATTTCTATTTTAATTATTATTTTTCAGATATGTTAAAAATATGATGAGGTTTGGTGTAAATATTCAGTTTTAATTGTAAACTTACTTTTCCAAAGTGGTCATTTTTCCGCTGAATCACAATATCTGTTCAAATCACCGGTAGAAAATGACGTGTATTTATTGGATTGCCTTTGTATGTCTTTAATGCACTTTAATTAAGTACACTGGGACGAATTTCTGCAGAAAATTGTGACCGCAAACAAAGCGTAAATCAATCCCACATGGAAAACAAGAGGCCCATGGGCCACATCGCTCACCTGAGCACATTGGCTAGGCAAAAGCACAATCAGTTCAGTATTGAAAAGACCGGGGGGAGGGGGGGGGGCTTGAATTTTAAACTACCTGATGATGCTTCCATGTCAATATAACAAATGGCTTTGTTGTACTTGAGAAGATTTTTTTAAAAAAATTCCCATATATTCCTTTGTAAAAATTTGATCCCTCATTGTGGCTCCTCCCTATCCCAGGGGTCATCATTTGAACAAACTTGAATCTACACTACCTGAGGATGCTTCCATATCAATATGACTAAACATAGCTTTTCTGTTTTTGAGAAGAAATATTTTTTCTATATGTTCTTATGTAAAACTTTCCATCCCCCATTGGGCCCCATCCTACCCCTGGGGGTCATCATTTGAACAAAATTGAATCTACACTACCTGAGGATGCTTCCATATCAATATGACTAAACATAGCTTTTCTGTTCTTCAGAAGAAGATATTTTCCTTTATATTTCTATGTAAAACTTTGATCCTCCATTATGGCTCCACCCTACCCCTGGGGGTCATGGTTTGAACAAACTTGAATCTACACTGCCTGAGGATGCTTCCATATCAATATGACTAAACATAGCTTTTCTGTTCTTGAGAAGAAATATTAATTCTATATGTTCTTATGTAAAACTTTCCTTCCCCCATTGGGCCCCACCCTACCCCTGGGGGTCATGATTTGAACAAACTTGAATCTACACTACCTCAGGATGCTTCCATATAAATATGCCTCATCATGGCTTTGCTGTTCTTGAGAAGAAGATTTTTAAAGATTTTTCCTATATATTTCTTTTTAAAACTTTGATCCTCCATTGGGGCCCCGCCCTACCCCCGGGGGTCAACATTTGAACAAATTTGAATCTACACTACCTGAGATTGCTTCCATATAAATATGACTCATCATGGCTTTGCTGTTCTTGAGAAGAAGATTTTTAAAGATTTTTCCTATATATTTCTATGTAAAACTTTGATCCTCCATTGTGGCTCCGCCCTACCCCCGGGGGTCATGATTTGAACAAACTTGAATCTACACTACCTCAGGATGCTTCCATATAAATATGCCTCATCATGGCTTTGCTGTTCTTGAGAAGAAGATTTTTAAAGATTTTTCCTATATATTTCTATGTAAAACTTTGATCCTCCATTGCAGCCCCGCCCTACCCCCGGGGGCCATGGTTTGAACAAATTTGAATCTACACTACCTGAGATTGCTTCCATATAAATATGACTCATCATGGCTTTGCTGTTCTTGAGAAGAAGATTTTTAAAGATTTTTCCTATATATTTCTATGTAAAACTTTGATCCTCCATTGCAGCCCCGCCCTACCCCCGGGGGTCATGATTTGAACAAAATTGAATCTACATTACCTGGGAATGCTTCCATATAAATATGTCTCATCATGGCTTTGCTGTTCTTGAGAAGAAGATTTTTAAAGATTTTTCCTATATATTTCTATGTAAAACTTTGATCCTCCATTGCAGCCCCGCCCTACCCCCGGGGGTCATGATTTGAACAAACTTGAATGTACACTACCTAAGGATGCTTCCACATGAGTTTCATCTTTCCTGGCTCTGTGGTTCTTGAGAAGAAGATTTTTAAATGATGCCATTATTTTTTCAGTAATTCCTAATTATCTCCCCTTGAAAGAGGGCGTGGCCCTTCATTTGAACAAACTTGAATCCCCTTTACCCAAGGATACTTTGTGGCAAGTTTGGTTGAAATTGGCCCAGTGGTTCTTGAGAAGAAGTCGAAAATGTGAAAAGTTTACAGACAGACGGACAGACAGACGGACGCCGGACAAAATGTGATCAGAAAAGCTCACTTGAGCTTTCAGCTCAGGTGAGCTAAAAATGTCTACAGTATACATTAACAAATGAAAATGAAAGCATATACAAAATGTCATGATTTAATGCACAAATCCTGATTTGAAATTTGTCATGTGTTTGAAAAGAAAGCAAGTTGTCACCATCAAAAGGTAAAATAAATGTTCATTGCATTTTTTTGAAGTCAGAAGAACATGCCAATGGGCCTTGATGATCACCTGAATATCAGGCTTAGGTCACTCTGCACTGCCTGGGACATGGACATGAATTTTTACATTAAGTGAGGAATTCAAGTTCATTATCACATTGCATGAAGATTGCATGAAGTCTGTCTCCTTGATGAAGGGTAAAGAAGACTTTTAAAGATAAAATGAATTACAAATTATATTAAATAAAGTTAAAATTTTATGTCCACCCTGGGGATATACAATATATAAATATATAGTACAGGCAATGATAGCTTATATGACAAGCAAACATCCAGGACAATGATAATTTTCAAAGGTACTCTGAGTAAAAAATAATCAACATCAGATTAATCTAGCTCCAACCTGGGTCTAAATCAATGCATTGAAAATAAACTGCACCATCAAGGTGTGATTTATTTTCAATGTATGACCAATTCCCAACTAGTTAGAATAATTTAACTGTGTCTTTGGACAGGTCCTCACCAATTTTTAATTGCTTCAAATTTACATGCCATGTTGACATTTGGAATTCTCTGAATTGTTCATAGTATCTGAGTTAGAGTTATCGCGTTATCTATCATTAAACCAGGTACATAGGACATTATGATTTTAATGATAAGAATATTCTGTCTAATGCCCAAACCTTTGGTCTGAACTCTGAATCAAGTGGACTTGAATTTCATAACTTTGGTAGAGTGTTAACTGCTCATTTTAATTAAACAATCAGGTATAGCCTGTTAAATGTTCAGAAGTATGAAAGATTTTGGAAGATGACTCAATTTTTCATGGTTTTTGTCCCATCTATCAGACCAAGAGGGGCTGGGTCATAAAATTCAGTTTTTTCCTTTAGTCCTTATACCAAAATCAGTTGAAACTGGTTTAGCCATTTCAGAGAGGAAGTTGAAAATGTTCAAAAGTTTGTGGATGTTGCAAGATACACCATGACAGATATGAATGGATAACATAAGATCACGTGAGTGACTCACCTAAATACATGTATGTGCTTTTGACTGGTGCAATTTGTTTACGGAGAGAGAGAGTGTGTGTGTGTGTGGGGGGGGGGGGGACGGAGAGGAGAGTCACTACCCTGCCAAGTAAAGTTCATGAATTTCTAGATGGATTACACAAATATGATCTAGTGAACAACAATGCTTCAGGCCTATATCACTCTTTTACACACAGATACAATAATTGTTGTTGCTACATGTATATGACATTATATTGACTGGATTACTGACAAATGACAGTACTGCCATACTGGTTACCATTGACAGTATTCTCACATATCTACCAGTATGTCACTAGCAACAGTACTTACATATTCACAATACAAGCCATAACAACCTTTTAGAAGAAGATAAGCAATCAGTACAAGCTGCTTTATAAAATACATTATTACTTAGGATTTAATTTCCGTTAACAGTTTAACTTTCAGTCAACAAATTATTTTGAATTCAATACATTACTCTGAAGGCCATAAATACACATATTTCATACAGTTTGTGTAAAACAATAGACAAGGACTATTAGACTTCTGGCTTTAGTCAACCTTTATCCGTGTAAAACAATAGACAAGGACTATTTGACTTCTGGCTTTAGTCAACCTTTATCCGTGTAAAACAATTGACAAGGACTATTAGACTTCTGGCTTTAGTCAACCTTTATCCGTGTAAAACAATTGACAAGGACTATTAGACTTCTGGCTTTAGTCAACCTTTATCCATCGTTCTATCGACTTCTCCATAGCAACCATCCACCTAAAATGCAAGTTCCTTTGTTAAAAAAAGAAATCGAGATTGCAAGAATTCATGCATAAAAATGAGATAGTCTTTATATTTGGTGAAAGTTGAAGTCACGCAGTACTGCTTCATATCAGAAATTGGTCAATGTTAAAATCTTAGCTTGCGATAATATCTTGTTTTTACCTATTTTTGTCAGTTTCATTCTCTGCACAGAAACTGAATGTTCGCATCTGAGACTCTGGGGGTCTGAGGATAAAGTTGTGTTTCCTAGGAGCGCCCGGGACCTGGTCCACGCTGTATCCATGGAGATGGGCCATGCCTATCATAATTATAAGGAATTAGGTAAAGTACATGTTATTATTAAAAAAAAAACATCCTCAGTGGTTATTTTCAATTCAATTAAAGGGAATTAAAAGATGGTAAAATACACTTTTAAACATACATTCCACTATTCATAGAAATAATTATTGCTGTACATAGTAGATACACATGTGTAAGTACATTTCATTAAAATAGATGGATGATAATATTTTGAAATTTGGTAACATACCTTGAGCACTTGAAGAATTGATGTTTTTATAATAATATATACAGGCATCCTTGAGCACACAGTAACGTTTTCTCCAGGTTTTGACAGTTCCCCCACACTTGGAGAGATACCCTGAACAGTCTGGTTTTTTAATGTCCAGAGCAGGCAGTCCTACATTGTGGGCGGTAACATCCATCCAGGCATCTTTCTGAAAATCATAAAATAGAAAATAGATATGGCAATTCATCAGACTACAGAACAAGATTTCACTGAACAAGAATATAGAGAATACTGCTGATAGCAAAGTCACATACTTTTACCAAGGACTACAAAATGGAAAATATAGCAAAACATAGCAAATTTGGTTGTTTCTATTGTAGTGTTTTAACCCTGTTTATAATTTTTCAGCTTATTCTCTGGTAAATAAAAGTAATTTACTAATATTTGGTTGTCCCTATTGTTGTTTATAATTTCTCAGCTGATTCTCTGGAAACTAAGAGTCATTTAATTACTTTAACTACTTTCTTTGGTTGTTATTATGGGAATTGATATTGCAGCTGTTGCAGAAAAAAACACAACCCAAATAAGCAGGTTACGTAAATTTTTTCTGCAATAGCTGCAATGTTAATTCCCATGTAACAAACAACGAACATTTTATGATTATATTTATGTCTGTACAAATAATCATATAAAGTAAGTTTAAGTACATTAAATATTGTAATACATGTACTGATATGTATGTCATTGTATGCAGTTGTCTGGAGGATCTTAACATTTGAATTGTTTAACATTTTCTTGGTGGAGATTGATACACTGTTGTTATATTTATTGGCATTTTTTTAAATTCAATGCTGAGTCAGTTCCAGATCATGACCAGCTTTTCAATAAAATTATTTTTGTATGATTTTATGAAGCTTATAACATGTCTGGCTATCACATTCATGTGATGGACAAAGGGAAATAACTCTGACCTTTTCTCTGGCTCTGGTTGCAGCCTCATTTAATGCTGAGATCCACCTACAAAGGGAATCATTTTGTCTTACTAAAATAAAATTGCCAGAAAAACATTTTGAAAAAAAACATTAGTAACATTGTCACCCACAACTCATCTGTCAAACAATAACAAACCATTGATTATAGGAGGTGAATATTGTGAACCAAGCTTGGTTGAGTGCTACATTCTTTATAATTAAGAGGTCTTGGATTTTTTTATATTACTTACTTGATCATCTCTTCTCTAGAGTCAGGAATAAAGTAGTAAGTTCTGGCTCCAAACTTTTCTGCCTTGAAGCAATGCCCTTTGCTAGAGTCAGTATGTTTGGACACAATGTAATTCAGGAGTGGGAATGCTCCCAGAGGGTCTGGATCCTGCACAGGAATACAATTGAATCAGTGTTTATATATATTATTACATTTAAAACAGTGAAATACATTATTATAAATTTATTTATTGAATAAAAGTGATATTTTGTCACAGTATGAAAGAATATCACAGTAATATTCTGTCACAGTGTAAAAGAATATTGAAAGTGGGGCAAAACTCGAGATTTTCCTTCCCTAATCACAAAGAATGTTGTAAAAAAAATCCCTGGCCTGTTGTAGAGAGAGTTAATAAATCATCCTGACAGAGACTAAACTGCCAAAGTTTCTCAAAATCTGTTGTTGAAATCCATGTTTGCAATATTTTTAATCTCATAATCGCTTAATAGCTATGATGTCTCAAACGCTCAACTATGACATCACAGTCTATGACACTGTGTTAGGAAAACACAGAGGCAAAGAGAAAATCAAAGAAAATGTAATATTAAACAGAAAATTCAATATTTTGTAGTTGGATATGGAATTTAATTCAAGAGTGGGACAAGATTTTTAGCTCAACTAGTCAGAGACCAGAAGAGCTTATGCGATAGTAAGGTGTCCGTCGTCTGTCTGTCTGTCCAAACATCTGTCTGTAAACAATTTTTCAAAATGCTACTCCTCCTACAGTTTTGGTCTGATTTCAGTATAACATGGCACACAAGTAGACTACACTAAGATACATAATTCTGTGTATCAGTTTTTGATTTCAATGAATGTTGTTGCCATGGTTACTAAATATAGAATTTTCTGTGAAATACTTTCAAAACACTACTCCTCCTACAGTTTTGGTCTGATTTCAGTATAACTTGGCACACAAGTAGACTACACTAAGATACATAATTCTTTTATCGGTTTTTGATTTCAATGAACGGTGTTGCCATGGTTACTAAAAATAGAAATTTCTGTGAAATACTTTCAAAACCCTACTCCTCCTACTTTGGTCTGATTTCAATATAACTTGTCACACAAGTAGACTACATTGAGATTTATTGTTTTTTGATTTTGTTGAATGATGTTGCCATGGTTACTAAAATCGAAATTTCTGTAAAATTCTTTTAAGAGGCTTCTCCTCCTACAGTTTTAGTCTGATTGCAATAAATCTTGCCACAAAAAAGAGACTACACTAAGATCATTATTCTGTTTATTCCTGTTGCAAAGTTTCAAGTCCAAGTGCTACTTTTATCTTCCTTATAAGTACAAACCAGTAAAGCTACAGTCTCGTCAGAAACTTTTGTTTTTTTTATATTTTCACCCGTGCTTGGCACTTGTGAAAATGTAAAAAAAAACCTGTCCCACTCTTGAAATAAATTCCATATCCAACTACAAAACATTGAATATCCTCTATATATAATACACATTTATAGTTATTATATTACAGATCAAATTGAATTTAGTTAAAAATCTGATTATCATTTTTTTAATCAAGAACTTCCTTGCAAGAAAAAAATTTAAATATATTGATCTATTCCAAATTTCAAATCTGCCTTCCTGCTTTTTTTATGTATAGTACAGCAATCTCCTTGCAACAAAACAGAAATAATTTTGATTGTTTAAGGACATTTAAATGCTGATAGTCTAGCTTCTACATTATTTGCCAGATTATTCAGCGATTCTTTCCAATGAAATACTCAGTTCTTTGCACTGTTGTCAGAACAACTTTATGTGTGTGTGTTTGTGAGTCACATATGCCTCAAAGCATTTGAGTTGTAATCTAGGCAAAGAGCTCTATCATCTACCTTAACTCAGAGCTGTCCTAATAGGACTAATGCCCCTGCCCTACCCCTGGGGGTCATAATTTGTACAAGTTAGAATCTTCACAATCTGAGGATACTTCCTTATCAATATGACCAATTATGGTGAGGAGAAGATTTTTAAAGATTTTACCTATATATTCCTATGTAAAAGTTTGATTGCCTATTGTGGCCCCTCCCTAGCCCAAGGGGCTATGATTTGAACTTAAATCTACACTATAATGTAAAAAAACTTTTAAATAAGTTTCATCTTTTCTGGCCAGTGGTTTTTGAGAAGAAAAATTAAATTATGCAATTAAATTTTCACAAATTCTTTTAAATTATCTCCCCTTGGAAAAGGATGTGGCCCTTCATTTGAGAAAACTTAAATTCCCTTCACCCAAGGATGTTTTGTGGTAAGCAACAACTTTTATTACCTGTGACCTTGACTTTTCCAATTCATTTGACATTATGTTAGTATCGAGACATACCTTCAGATCATTAGCACTGTTCGTGCCAGAGACTTCAATGTTTCTCCATAAAACATTTATGCCCAAACATGCATTTTACAAGTTTTCTGCATGTGACCTTGAAATTTCCATGATGACCCTACTTTAAAGTCATGTCAAAAATGTACCCTCAGATCATAAGCTTACTTTGGGTAGTTTAAACCATGTTTTACTCAATAAGTATAGAAACATACTGATTGGGATTGAGCAGCAGTTTAACTGATCCTTCTCCCAACCATACACAGGACTGACATTTTACCTGTTCTCCTTTATAGTAGTACAAACAGTTGTCATATCTCAGGACAAAGTATCGCCGCCTCCAATTCTTGACAAACGTGGAGTTACTCTGCTTGTACATGTAACCACTCAGTACAGGTGTCTGTGAATTCCTGATGTAATGGACATCGTTTCCAGCAGCCACTTCTAACTTCACTATGCTCGGATCTGATAAGTATCAATGTTTATTCTTTTATTCTGACAATTGTTAACATGAAATTTAGTGATAATTTCTGTTCATTATAATGTTAACACATAATTATCCATGTTTAATAATTCAGTTATACATGTGAATTCTCTGTATTTTATAAAACTCTGGATCAAGGGAAATAACTCTTGAATTCCTCAGATGTAATGTATTCTAATGAATTACTTTAAATTTATCCTGAATGAAATATGTATTGTATTTTCAAGGCACTGGTCCAAAAATTAACTTTTATTTATAACTATATGGAATGAAATATATAGAAATCTGAATCCACATGTGTTTGCCTCAACAATAACCCCTGTATCAGTACACTTCTGTAGTAACATTATCATAGGATTTCTATAATTTATGCATATTTTCAAAAAATTCTAATTATCAAGAACTGAAGGCTTGTCATATACACCTCTCAAGTTAATATTTGAAATATTGCATAGAGAGAAAATATTGCAATATACATTGTATAATAAACCTAAGCTCTTGTATTGTTTTAATACATGCAGCTGATATATACAAATGATAATACTGCACACCTCTTTAAAAGGTTATAGAAAGTAAAACATCACACACCTTGATTTAAGATATTGTCACAGCCATTAATGGCATTACATGCCTTAAAATAGAATCTTTCAGTCTTAAATGTCTGACCTTTTTGCACTAGTTTGATAATTTCCTCATGACTTGATTCCAGAACATTGACTCCATTAATGCCAATGAGTATCTGGCCTGGCTTTATCCCAGCTCTGTGGGCAGGACTTCCTAAAAATACACAGTAGTAAAAATCAAAGGCAGATCTTAAAGGGGAGGTGAAAGGGGACAATTATACCACTTTTCTTATGAATCCAAGTAGAATGCAGCACAATAGAAATCCTGCTATCAATTGAGTGTATCATAGGAGTTTATTTTTATAAAAACAAACGTTTATTTTTCTACGATAAAATGTCATATAATGTGACTACTTCTTGGTATACTACTTGTAAAACACAACATTAATAATATTCAATTATGATAATCATTTTCATTCCAGATTAATCAGCTTTATAATCTTAGTGTAAAAATCTGGATCTCCCCTGAGAATTGGTTATACTGTATTGTATAATGTGTGCAGATTGAATTACCAAAAAATTCTCTGACTTTATTACCAAAGCACAAAAAATCTATTTGAATTTATTACACATTATTATTTCTTATTTTGGCCTTTAACTGAAATGCCTCTTTTTCATGCCTGCCATCTTTGTATTTTTGTTGATTGCAGGATTCTTTATTATTATCATAGCAAAATATTTTAAGAGGAAAATGTTCGATAATAATAAAAATTTAGAATGTATTTTTTTTATTTAGAATGTAATAATGCCAGGTTAAAAGTGTTCATATTTATATTACTGCCTGATGCCTACTGAGAAAAGAAGATTAGACTTTGATATTAGAGTAGCATCCATTTATTCTATGACAATTATATACATGTACCATAAACTCAAGATTTGCACAGGCTAACAAGATTGAACAGAAATACTTTAATATTTATATTTGGTCCTATTGGTAATGTAAAATATTTTATTATTAGGTTTGTTACACACCATACATATATTAAAACATTTTGGGCTAATCGAGCCTTAATAGAAGCTCCCACAAAACATTGCTTTCAATGGCCTTGATGATTGCAATGCATTTCTTTGGATTCCGAGTAACAAAATTTAAATTAGTATATGTAATGAAAACTGATATTATAATTCATACTACCGGTACATGCAAAGATATACAGTCAAACCTTATTACCTCAAACCAGATGAGACTGAGAAAAAAACTGAGAGATATTTGGAAATTGGCGACATGGAGGATAAAATACTTATTAAAGAAAAAGTGCTTGGGACTTCTAAATCACTTTGACATATCCATTGTATTCGAGATATTGAAGTTGTGAATTTCTACTTTTTCCAAAGCAAACATACCTGTCAACCTTTGTAATGTACATCATGTAACTGGCACTGGTTCAGGATCAATGATTATTAATCTCTTTTATTTGAACACATGCAGACTGATAAACACATTAATACAAATTTTCATACACTGGTAAAAACACTTACCCATGTCTACGTCTGTTATAAATGCTGGATGACTGTCATATATATGTAGGCCAAAATCTCTGTCATGGTCCTCTTTTGTTATCACAACCACTTTCTCTTGTTCTGTAGTGAATATAAGTAAATACATTTTAAAACAAGAGGTCTATGGGCTACAATGCTCACATTAGTACCTAGCTTGGTGTGTTGAATTGAACTACGGTAGCAAAAAAAATTGCATGCAATTGTAAGTTTTAATGTACATGTATCTTAATAAAATTGAATGAAAAAGTATAAGTTTTAATATAGTTTGTTATAAAGTATATTACATATTACATTTGTATTTCATTTTGTGACATTTAATTATTTTATTATTTTTGGATGATATCAGTAGATATTTCTCATACAACATAGGCCCCACCTCCATATATGCATTCTTAGCAATGCTGCACAGTGGTTCGTGAGAAGTCAAAAATGGTAAAGATTCACAGAAGGACATGCAAGTAGACAGACAGACAATGATCAGAAAAGCTCACAAGCTTTTGACTCAGGTGAGCTAAAAAGCTTATGCTATCTACTGTAATGGACTCATTTTATTGAAATCAGAACTTTCTAATAATAATAATATATTATTTTACAGTCCTCAAAGAGGGTGGAATAATTTTATTTTACCTACCAGACAATCAAAGATTATAAAATCTCAATTAGACAACTTTCATAATTAATGAGTTGTATCATTCAAATAAATGTTCAAAAAGACATCTTAGTTAACTTGGCTTACACAATGTTTTCAGTCTTTCAGTTCTTCACCTTATTGTAAACACTTCATCTTTTTGATGATATGCATTTATAATGAGGTAAAACTGAAGTGACAAGAGACTGTGTCCTGACAGCACTAAAGGTAGTGAAAGGAATAAATTGAGGTTGGTCAGTTTATTCATTTACTTAGTTTGGATTACATATACACAACACTAATATTGTTATACCTTAAAAAATGGTTCCTCTATAAATTTATACTAAAAAGTCTAACATTTCCAATGTTTTACTGAGCGGTCATAAAAAAATTGATGTATGACTGCAGAGTGAGATATTGGACCTGTCGATGAGATATTGGACTGCTTACGTCACATTATGGGTGGGACCAGCTAAATCTTATTTGCATTTGTTGGTGTTCAACAGTGACGGAATTGACGGAGTTTTACTCCAGGTAAAGGAAATTTACATCATGGAACTCAGCACAAGATACATGTACATTGTACATGTATGTCAAAAAATTAAAGGAGAAACAAAACATTTATTGGCTGTGTTCTCGGGCAAAATGTGTTTTGTTGACCCCTCGAACCAAATTGTTTGTCTTGGGCTTACAGTTTGGTTCTTGGGTCTGACAAAACGCATGTTGCCCTTGAACCCAGTCAACAAATGCATAATATTCTGAAGATAAGAAGGCCCACTAACCATATAATTTTGCAGACAGGCGATGATATTCTTGCTGGCTGTCATGGCGATGTACCATACATTTCCGTCGGATACGATATTCATGTTTAAATTCACACTCAGACTTAGTTGTTGTAGTTGAGTCGGATCTTTTGTGGGGTTTATCAAATTGTAATGTATCATTGCTTCTGAGGAACACTTCATCTGAAATGACACATACAATGACACGTTATATGAAATAAAATTGTTACAGGATCTTTATAAACATGAACAGAAAATACCTACCAGCTAGCTAGTAGAATATACTTAATCTTATTGAATAAATTAAAACCTAAAATGTAAGTGTGTATACTTCTTAACTCCTGAATTATTTTCTCAAGCTCAGCTTCTAGCTTTTCATCCATATCTTTGTGAATAAATTCCTTTTGCATCCATTTGAAAACATTCAGAATTTTCAAATAACCTTTATATAGTATCAACTATGTGCTTTAGTACGAAACATTCCAGGCATAGCTGATTAGGCTGGAGTTGTAATGAGCTAATGTATGTAAGTAAACAATTAGCCTGAGGGGAAATAATAACCCAACTGATACAAAATGATGTGAATGTAAAACATAATCACTAGAAAATTAATATTCAGGGTTGAAAATACTCATGATAAATTGCAAGTAAGTTTGATATGATTTAACTTTTGTTTTTTTTTTTTATCAGCAATATAGTTTCGACTTTTGTTTTAAAATGTGCTTGTAAATAACTATTGTTTATGTGCATGCACTAAATTGTCTCAAAGAAATTTTTTTGGTATGTATGAAAATACAAGTTGTTGTCCTTAAAAAAAAATGCAATACGTGGACCATTCATAGACATGTGTTTCTAACACATGTAGCACATTAAATCAAAAAATGAAAAAAAAATAAAAGAACAATATAATAAAAATTCTTTGTTGTAGCGAAAAAATGTGTTGTAGATTTCTTTTTTCTTGAAACATGTAATTTTTATGCCCCCGTAATCGAAGATTCAGGGGAATATAGTTTTTGCCCTGTCCGTCCATCTGTCTGTCTGTCTGTCTGTCTATCTATCTGTCTGTCTGTCTGTTTGTCCGCAAAAACTTTAACCTTGCCCATAACTTTTGACTGGTTGGAGCTATGGCTTTCATATTTCACATGTGTATTTCTTGTGACAAGACCTTTCTTTAGGTACCATCATATTTGACCTTTTGACCTTGGAGTTTGACCCACTTTTGCAAAATTTTATGAGACTTTTACCTTGGCCATAACTTTTGAACAATTAGAGCTTAGGCTTTCAAACTTCACATGTTTATTTCTTGTGACAAGACCTTCCTTTGAGTACCAACATCTTTGACCCTTTGACCTTAACCTTGGAGTTTGACCTACTGTTGATAAAACTTTAACCTTGGCCATAACTTTTGAATAGTTTGTGCTAGGTCTTTCATACTTCACATGTGTACTCCTTGTGAAAATACCTTTCTTTGGATACCAAAAACTTTGACCTTTTCACCTTGACCTTGGAGTTTGACTTACTTCAATTTCGAAAACTGTTAACCTTGACCATAACTTTTGAACAGTTAATGCCAGGGTTTTCATACTTCACATATGCATTTCCTGTGGGAAGACCTTCTTTAGATACCAACAACTTTGACCCATTGACCTTGACTTTGGAGTTTGACCTACTTTTGAAAAACTTTAACCTCGGCCATAACTTTTGAACAGTTGGTGTTAGGATTTTCATACTTCGCATATGCATTCTTTGTGACAAGACCTTTCTTTAAATACCAACAACTTTGACCCTTTGACCTTGAACTTGGAGTTTGACCTACTTTTCAAAAACTTTAACCTTGGCCATAACTTTTGAACAGTTGGTGTTAGGGCTTTCATACTTCACTTGTATATTCCTTGTGACAAGACCTTCCTTAAGATACCAACAATTTTGACATTGACCTTGACCTTGGAGTTGGACCTACTTTTAAAAAATTTAAACCTTGGCCATATTTGAATGTTTGGTTCTACGGCTTTCACATTTCATGATCATGTGTATCACTTGTGACAAGACCTTCCCTTGGCCACCATTTGACCTTGACCTTGCTGTTTTACTTGATTTGAAAATCTTTAACCTTCGCCATAATTTTTCAACGGTTTGTACTAGGGCTTTCATATTTCACAGGTATATTTCTCGAAACAAGACCTTTCTTTGGGTACCAACATTTTTGATTTCTTGGCCTGGAGTTTGACTTAATTGCATTTGAGAAACTTTAACCTTCGCCATAAACTGCCATACGGGGGCATCAGTGTTTCACAAACACATCTTGTTTCATTATAATTTAACGTTATAGTCTAATTACTAATTTTAAACTGTAATATCCTTGATTAAGGCATCTAAAAAAACCTTGACCTTTGACGTTTGAATGTTGGAATTAAATGGGGATCATCCATGATTACCCTATATGTGAAATGTTTTGCTCAAACTCAAAGTTTAAATTATTGTCCAGTTTTAAGCAGTGTTGTTCTCTTTGACAGGGAAGACATTTCTGTTCTGAATTTTTAAAAAGCTTGTATCATAGAGACCCCAATCAACTGTTAAATATTATATTTACCATATATATACATAACTATAGAAGAATATTTTTTTTTTTTATAAATTAAGATACATCATATCCAGTTTGGACATGCTAAAATTATAAATAAATACAAATAAATTGTACAGAATTTAAGCATGTTTTCAATTATGGGTGAGTTGTTATTCGATGAGGGCAATTTTCCTAATGGCAATTAATTAGGTCTAGGGGCAAACTGTCTGGCATTCTGAAGCATGTGCAGTCTTACTTTTCAACATAGCATCTGGTTTAAGGTTCATAAACCCTCTGCTCACTCAAATAAAATGTTTCTTTAACTCTTGTGATTTTCCAAAAGAAATATATTTGTTAAGTAAAATACAAACAATTATAGCATAGCTTGAGGGGCGAAATTGGACAAAAAAGACATTTCAACTTGACAAATTTATAAAGGAATAATAGACATTTATGTCATTAAGAGTTATCTCTCTTATCAGAGTATCGATGAACCTTAATCTCTATTATATATTTTTAGCATTTGGGCCTCAGAGTCCAGGCAATAAAGCTTTTTTTAAGTGCTTTTGGTTGACATTGCCCCTGTGAATCCTAGTTTTATTTCCTCAACATTAATTAACTTTTAAATAACTCATCACACTCTGTTCAGTTTAGAAAATTTATCAAGTATAATTTTTATAAAAATCATTAGTATGCAATTGAAACAATTCAGTTTAAAAATAAAGTGGGAATAGACACTGTATGCATGGTGCTCTTCAACTGCGTAATAAAGTTTAACAGTCCATACAAACATCCTCTGAATAAATACAAAAGTACACTTAATTTGGGTTCCAGCTGTAAATTTTACATATATTTCTCAGGATTGTGTAAGCATTGTACAGTTTAAAAGGACAACACTGAAAAAGCTAAGATATAGGCTCATGCCCTGTGGGGCAACTATAGAGAGGCCAGGGCTTTCTTTAAAATAGTTTTAAACAGAACTCTGACATCTTGCTTATTAATTACATTGCAAATATCCATGGCCTAAATCTGATTAAAAAGTAATTAATGAAAGTCATTGGAACACCTCTGTTCATGAGCAACCTTTGTGTTTAGTGCAGCATTAAAAGTCAAAACCCAAAGAATTTCGCTTCCGAGTCATGATCCTGTGGTGGAAGTGGTTGCATGCCCTCTGGTCACAAGAAAACCCTTTATTGTGCCTAAAATAATTTTCCAATGTTTTCCTCCACTTCAGTGTTATGGCCAGGGCAAGAATTTTACATTCAGAATCTTGTGACCTTGTCAATTTACCCTGGATTAGGGTTGGGATTTACCCTTGAGTCACAAGCAACCTTTGATCCAAGTATGTACTTAAATGTTTTTCCATTTCAATGTTGTGGCAAGAACACTAGAATCTACACTAACTGAGGATGCTTCCATTTTTCTTTGACTAATTATGGCTTTAAACGATTTTGTTCATAAGTTACCTTTGGATTAAGAAGTCTCTTAAGTTTCTTAGTTTTAAGGTGAAAATGTCCATCAGACAATTCAGAATTTCACTCTTTAATATTCCAGTCCTGTACGATTAAGTCTTTAAAAATCACAATTTTTTTTAACTTTTGACAATAGTCCGAAATATCTGATGTTTTCCAGGTGTTTTTCATGATTCTGATATTTGATGTGCCAGGAAAACGTCAGAATCGGCACCATTACAAAAAGTGGAAATTTCACCGCCTCCAACTGAACTTGATTTTCGTTACTTGCAAATTGAAATAGATCTCAAACTTGCAAGTTATCAACAGCACAATGCTTCTAGTTCTCACTGATATCACTTAAAAGAAAATATTACTCAACATTTCGATACAGGTCTCATAAGATTTCAAAATGCATGAAATCAAAACAAATCTCGACAATTTGATAAAATTTTTTCACCAGACACTTATATTACAAAGCAACAATAAAAGCGATATTGGTAAGTACTAGAAGTGTTGTACTCTTGATAAGATGTAAGCTAGACACTTAATTCGGTTCGCATGTATCAAAAATCTGCCTGAGAATCCAGTTGGAGGCGGCAAATTTCTACTTTTCATAATGGCGCTGGAAAATGTCAGATATTTTGGACTACATGCAATTACAGTAAAACACATGTACAGCAAACACACTTATAATGAATTCAGCTTATAGCACAGTGATTTTTATTCCCTGTAGTATAAAAACATAATATAATGAACTTAACAGATAAAATGAACTATGGTTATAACGAATAAATCCCGTATGAAATTCATAGGCGTATTACGCCTGGATTATTTGCAAATCCTGGCGTACAAGAGGCGTATTTTTAAAAGTACGGTTCATTTTAAGACGTACACGTATTTTTGCCAGAAATACGCCTCCTCTTCTCCAGGCGTATTATTCTAAATCCAGGTGGATTTTTTACTCAGTCTTTATTACACAGGGAAAAAAAAACTTAGAAAATTTTATAAGGCGTATTTTTGGAAATCCAGGTGGATTTTCTGACTTAGTTCTTTTTAAAGTGGGAAAATTTTCACTTAGAAATGTTCTTTTGAATACTGAATTGCATTAGTTCTTTATGTGGAGAGAAAATTTTCACTTAGGAATTTTCTTTTAATTACTGAATTGCATAAATATATAAAAGATATCATTATGATAAATTGACAAAATTTTATTTATTGAATGTATAACCATTGAATATTATAAAACTGTCTTTGTATACCTATAGAATAATATGGCATGGTATAAATAGCATGTACACATGTTTAGCTGAGTTTTCCTCCTACACTATGAGAAAATATTATATATTCATTTGATACGCACTAACATGATATTTTTACCCATAGAGCTAAAATAATAGTTAATTCAACAGTTATCTTCAAATATAAATGCCCCCCCCCCTTTCCTGTAACTCAATCACATTCAAGTCTATTTGGAAATTTGCACACAAACATCTGATTTTGGCCCTCAATGTTAATCAACATACACAGCATCTTAATACTGTCAACTGGAACAACTGTTAGAATACCTGATTGTTTGACAGATAATAAGTTACTCCTGTCATTATATGACAGACAGTTCAGTTCCTCCACAACAGCTACAGGTATGTTCTCTATTAATTTCAGGAAACATCGCACTCTTCCGAACTTAACAGCATTTGTTCCTGTAAACATGATTGTTGAATTGTCACGTTTTGTCATGCGGGCATATTCAATTCCATAGATTAGACAGTTGTCTTTTTCTAAACGCATAAAACTAGGCAAATTGTCAGTGACATATGCAGTTCCAGTAAACCTACAGAGTGCATCATATTCATCATCTAACAATTGTCTTTGTTTTATCCCACCAAGAACATACGCACCGTCACAAATTTTTTCACCTCTTTGTATAGGATGTGGATTTTCTATAGAATGGCACAATTTTTCAACATCAGATCCCTTTGTGAGACAGTTTTGTTTCAGCTCTGGCATTTTTTGAATAAAAGACACCCCTGTAATTATCTGGTTATCAATATTTTGAGTCCCTCTTATTAGTTTTAGTATAAATCCATTTTTGTCCTCAAAAGGAAAGCAGCTGTGTGTGTACAGAGGACCTAAACACCTGACTCCTTGTGCCATGTGAACAAGCTGGTGAACATTAAGAGTCATAAATGATCGAGAATATAAGTTTTCAAAATGTTCACAAAATGTTAAAAGCATTCTTTCAGCTCTGTTTACATTGAAAACAGAAGATCCATTGCCAAGTAAAATGTGTACCGCATTTACAAGACACATGTAATGGTTGAATCGATCTTCATTCAAAAGGCCATACATCACTGGTCCTCCATAGTAAAGAAGGAAAGATCGGTACTCTGAAGCTTTCCAGTACTTCATGTCAGTGATGGATCTTGGTAACTGTGTAATGTCCAAGGTTGGGTGGATGTTTTCCAGACGATTATTCAACCTGTCTGACTGATCTGAAATGCTGAAGTCTCTGTTTTTGTGTTTTGGAGAGAACCATAGCGTCAAGAGTAATTTTTGAACTCCTAATAATACGCCATGCATATAATCTATTGCAATTCCTTGAACACAATCAAAATGAGGGAAATAGGAAATCCAAGAAGGACCCTTAACTCCACAGACAGCAGGGTTTTTTACTTTTTCTCTTGCGTTTCTCAAAGCTTGGATGGAATTTTGCTTCACAGATTCTGCAGTCCTGACAGGCCCCATTGGATCCTCTTTTTGGAAAGGAAACACATGAGTGTGCCCCTTTCCAACAGGTGCAGTTTCACCAGGTTGTGTACATTTCCAACAACCAAACTTCCCATTAAACTGCACACTATTGCACAGTAAACTTCGAGCAGGTAAGTCTGCTGTTGCTGCAAGAAGGAAGCACTTGCTTAGAAACTCTCCTCGCTCAGGTGAAAAACACTTAATTCCATCCTTCAATGCCAAAAAAGATTTCTGGAGTGGTTTAAGGAAAGTCCCCATTGCTGGTTTTTCATTTCCAAACCAAAGTGCTGCCAAGATCATATTTTCCTTTTTCATTCTGATTTTAAAGGGAAGTTCATTTATGACAAGAAAAACTGGCCATATCGAAACTTTGCTACTTTTGAAAACTGGAGCTCCATCTGTGTTTAAAACAAAAGAGAGGTTATCTGATGAGCTCAGAGGTCCATCATTGTTGTAAAGTTGTCTGTAAAGGGTTCCATCAGTAATATCCTCATAACTGTTATTGAAAGATTTTCTAAATCGACCTTGCAAATTATTGTAAAAGCCATTTTGAGCAAACAAGTTTTTCAGTTGGTTTTCAATTGGCATTTCCAGGAAGTAACGTTTGTTTGATTTATCCATAGCACTCTCACAAACTGTACAATTTTCTCCTGGACCATTATTTTTTTGAAATGCTAAACATCTAGCACAGTAATAATGCTTAATCAAGGGATTGCGCAAGTTCCTGAAGTACATTTTGAAAGAATGTAAGCTAGTGCACAATTTGTGTCCATTTGGTAGAGCCAGTGCAATGATTTTTAAAGTTGTTCAACTCCATCTCCAATGAGATTGTATTTTGTAGAAAAAATAGCTATTAATAACATGAAGGCACCAATGCTAACACTTGCTCCTGGATACAATGGTTCAGCATCAATGTCATCATTGTTCAAATTGTCTTCAATAGTCAGTTCTGCATCATTTGCTGACAAATCATAAAAGATATCCTGGTCTTCATCTTCCACTTCCCTGCCTACAAATGGGTCATCCAAGAGAACCTCTAATGTTACATCATTATCCTCTTCTGGACTGTTCTCAAGGTTGCTCACAGGGAATATTGACATCTCTTCATCCAGAGATTCATGATGAGGAATGTCCTGGAACGGTGAAGCAGTTCTATTGCTATCCTCTTCCTCATTGTCCTAATAATTAAAATGTAAACTCATATTAGATATTATATATATACATAAATACTAGTATGTTAGCAAGTGCAGCGAGCGGCACCCCTCGACATTGGGCAAAGAGTAAATTCAGACTGCATGTTATTGTAACTACTTTCTTATGGTAACAAAAAAGTTCAAAAAGTATATATATATTTAATTTACACTTTTCAAACTTTATTATAGAAATGCAACTATCATAAAACGTTTTGTAAAGTCATAGTATAGACGCCCTTTATGTCTCTTGCAGTTTGATTTTGAAGAGGCGGATCTAAGTTAAAATAATAATGCTAATAGAGAGATCTGTGCTCGTCTGAAGGGTCGCATCGTCAACATATTACACTGTATGAGAGAAATTAATCTGGGACTTAAATATTTTTAATTATCAATGTAACAGGGTTCATCAGTTTTAAGAGAAATAACTGGCAGGTATTTGAAAGTTCTATTTAGCTATAAATGTAAATGTAAATACCTTCTCATTTACCTCCCCCGAACAATGTGCGATAGAGTCCGATGCGTGGTTATCTCCTGTTAGAACCGTATTGGTATTTTTTCTCTCGGATCTCTGATTCTACCATCATAAAAATAAAATAATAAGCTAAATAATTATAATGTAGTTATAGTTAATACTAATAGTAATAGTACTAGAACTAGAAGGCCTCCAATTCCAAAATAAAACTTGGAAACTTTCGCTTGCTTCCGGTTAGTATGGTATTTTGCATATTTTGAACCCGACTTTTTTCGTTATTCTGTTCTCATATATATTTTGTCTGTGCATTTCTTTTATTTTTTCTTTATGTATGAAATCAAAGTTATAATTATATAAAATGGCTAATGTTCAATCCATACTTACGGTTATCCGAAGCTGACCCGATATGGAACTGGAAGTGGTCTGTAAATGTCTTGAATACACATCAGACTCTTCTCGTAAATTTGTGTATGACGAGTCTACAATCAGTGTTAATTCACTTTCATCTTCACCCTCCAAAGTACTCTTTAGATAAGGCCCTCGTTTTCTTTTCTTGTTTGGTTCTGTGTCCATTGTTCTAACTTTTCGAGTTTGATTAATGCGCAGCGTAATTCGATCTATGTGAGGCCAGAGGAATACAAAGGGCGGAAATTTCGCCGTTATCTTTTTTTCCCAACTTCGGTCAGAATGTTTATCAAATGTATTTTTGCAACATTATTTTAGAATAGAGCTTAGTTTATCTGATTAGCTCATCAAATTTAATTAATTAATCTATAAAGCCGATTAAGAAAATGCAGTCGCCTAGCTTTCCCCTTCTAGCGCCTCAGTGGTCATGATGGTCAGCAGCAGCACAAACGGATTCTGGGATTGATATTTGAAACCTGAAACTCAGAAACGCGCGGTAGATTTTTCTAACATGGAACATGTGGAAAGCACAGACACAGTGTTTTTGTGTCTCTTTTTCATGGAAGATAGAAGTTTGAGCGTCCTTTCAAAGAATGACAAGAACTTGACCATTAGTGAATTAAAAGAAGGTTCAAACTGTTCCATGAAGTGGATGGGGAGAAAAGAGTACAAATGTAAAATTGTAAAAATCCATGGTAAGTACGAGATCCTTTGTCGTGGATAATTGTAATTTTTTACTATTCTAACGCCCATCCTCTTCATTTTTTCAATTCTCTAATTTATAAGGCAATTTAAATCTCGTCATTTATACTGTATTTTTTTAACAGTTACACAACCAAACTCATATTTGAGATGTGTGTGTTTGGGGGGGGGGGGATACTGATAAAATATGTTACAATAAGATTACTATTATCTGGGTTCATGTTAGAAAAAAAATTAGACGTTTTAAATGCTTAAAGAATCTCCAAACTTTTATTGAATTTTCTTACAATTCATCATGCAATACTAGCAAGGTGGGTAATAACCCCCCCCCCCCCTCCCCCATTCCCCGCTTCCAAACGACTCTCCCTCCCGAATGGAAATATATAATATATTTTAATATAGTTTTTGTTTTTTATATAACTGTAAATTGGTGTAAAATATTCTGGAATTAAAAGGGCAGGAGGAAGCTAGAAATATCACAGTGGATACGGCATTAATTATAATTTCATGGCAAAAAAATCGGGCTCGGGATACAATATGTAGAAAAATGGCTGCTTTGTCACGATTGTAAATAAAGCAAGTAAATATTTATAGTCGGCAAGTATACAAACTATGACATATTAACATGTGCTGTGATAGGTCTTTAACCGATTTTAACAAATTTACACGAAAGATAAAAGTTAGTAAAATATAGTTAGTAAAAGGGCAAAACAGAAATGAACCATTAAAATGAACATTGATAAAGGATAAGAATTAAGCACTATGCAGCACAAACATAAGGCCAACAATAAAGGACTGACTGCTCATGTGCTGTTGACCCACTGATAAATAAGATAAGCCCAAGTTTTATCGTGCATATGGGTTTCACTGAAGCTGTTCAGTGTTATTTTGAATTAAAACAAGCTACTTTTTGTATTTGTAGACAACAAAGATTTTTTAGACAAATGGGCGACAAAATTAAACAACAGCGTCCTAAAAAGACATGCAGATTCAGATCTTGACATCAGTGATTTGGTAGAGGAGCTTCAGAATTTCAAAGAAGCCTCAAGTAGTGCAAAAAGAAAAAGAATCGAGACAGCAAGATCTAAAGAGAGCAAGATTCAAGATGAAGAAATTAGCCCTAAAAAGAAGAAAACTGTGAAAGAGAGAAGTGAGGAACAAAGCCCCTTAAAAAAAAGAGATGTCAAAGAGAAAGAAGAGGTGGGTCAGCCTAAAAAGAAAAAAATCACCAAGGAGAAAGAAAAATTAAGTCCAAAGAAGCAAGAAAATATAAGGAAGAAGAAAGATGAACAGAATGAACCAGCTACCACTTCAAAGAAATCAGTGGACAATTTGGAAAGGAAAAAACAGACGAAAGAACAATTGAAAAAGACAGTGGAAGCCACAGCTGCAGTAAGTATGTCTATGGAGATCGTCTCCATGGCAAGTCAGTTCTCCATAGACAAGGACACTGTATCTGCATCAACACCCACAGATACACAAATGGAACAGGAAAAAACAGAATTGAATTTAGTCGAAAGTCCTCACAACAGCACTCTTCCACGTACAAAAAGCCCTCATGAACCAGCACTGGTAAATTATTTAAATGAATCTACTGGGAATCAATCTTCATCTTACATAAATATGGATTTAAATCAGCACGAGACTGTTTCAACACCATTGACAGAAACATGGGGTTTGTGCCAAAGGTCCCAAGAAGGATTTGAAATGCAGTTTCCCGACAATTTTAGGCAAGCAGCAACAAACATGGCAAATGGCATTATTCCAGGTATGTTGTTCATACAATATCCACAAATTTAATCATAAGGCTAGCCATTTTTAAAAAAGCATAGAAGCATTGTATTTTTCTAAGAACTGCTTTGCACAATTTTTTAAGATACTATAATTTTTTATGTCAGGATTGTGATTTAATTTAAGCAAAAGGATTGTATCATTTTAAATTATTTATATCTTATAGTTCCTTCTCCACAAGTCCTGGAAACAATGAGGGGCATCATGCACCCAGAGTTTCAGGGATACATCACAGAAGTTCTGAAACATTATGGACTTTCAGACCAGAATTATTCTTCTCAACAGGTAACTGTTTCACAAATCTATTCCGACTCTATGCCTTATGTAATTCAAATTTAAAAAGAAAATTAACATGCTATATATGTCTTTGTAGGGTTTCTTCAATCAAACAAATTACCCATATCAAAACCAGGACTACAACCACTTTGATGAAACCATATCAGTGGGAAATCTGCCAGAATCTTACAGCATATCCCCAAGACGTTCCCCTAGGTTGCTGAAAGCCTCCACCCCTAAACATTCAGAATCACCAGTAGTGAAAAGTACTGCACCAAGAAGATCTTTACTTCCTACTTTGTCGAAGGTAATTTTATTGCCCAGGGCCATCACTCTTCTCAAATTAAGACCAAATATCTGAACAATTCCCAACAAAATGTGGGTAATTTTTTCAATTTTATGATAAAGTATTCAGAAATTCATTTATAAACTTGTAAAACTTAATTTTGCCCCAACTGGCCTGCCACTCACTCAATGCAGACCAGTCACTGGAGTAACCAAGGGTCCCTTATTTCATGGTTCCTCAAAAAATATACTGATTATCCACTTTGTGATTATGTTTAGACAGGGAATAATCAATTCTTTACCCAGTGACTGTGTATTTAAGTGTGGAACTTAATTTTTTTCCCCATAGGACACCTTTAAAATTAAAAACAAAAAATGCATAAGATTTTTTAAGATGAAAAAATAACTAACAAAAAATTGTTTTCTTTATTTAGTTTAGGTAATAAAATTTCCCAATTTCACAAAAAAGTTTATCTTCCAAATTTAAATGGACCAGGTCCTTTTCACAAAAAAGAGCTGTGACAACCCGGTTGTCATTGAATGGAAAAAAGTACATACTTATTGGTCTTGATGTTGAGTAATCTTTTTAAGGTTAATATAGTATTACATGTGTCTATATACAAACCTATGTCATACATGCATAATATGATGCAACTAACATAAAAGTTATGGTATACAAACTTGGTTGAAAAACAGAGAAAATAGAAGGCAGTACATATTTTTTTTCCTTGAAGTTGTCTTAGACTATGCATACCATGAATTACATCTGCATAAATTTATTATTTAACTTATTAAGGATGATACAGATACCAACAGTGCCACAGTAACAACCCTAGGCAGCCAAGCAACAACCCAAAGCAGCGTTCCCCAGGGTAACAACAGTGAGGTGAGCATTACTTTGTAATTTGTTTTTTTGATGGAATACCCAAGATTTTGAAAACTACCTTTGTGAAGGATATTAAGAATTGTCATAATTTGGTATGGATTGGTAGAAATTTTCAGGTAAAATCATCAAAATGTCAAGTTTATGAGATTCAAATTTTAAAATGCAATAGTATTAAGTATATCAGAGCACACCTGTAATTGTAGGGAGACCATAATGGTTTACTTTATTGTAAAGCACATATTAAGTAAACATATATCTGATAAATGTCATGTATACAAAGCATCCATATGAAAATGAATGTATCTGTACTTGTTTGCAAGGAAAATATATCATGAAGTAGAAAACAAAATAGAGATTTTCTTTCATTTATTTAATGGTAATACATAAAATATCTATTAAATAAAGGGCAAAAGAATCAATAGCAGTGCCAAAGTGACATCTCAGAGCAGCACAGCCCACAGTGTTAACCAAAGAGAGGTGAGCATTGGTTATCTCTGCTGAATTGTCTCAGGATGTTCCTATGATTAAATTTCTTTGATTTTTTCCCCAAACCTTTAATTCTTAATTTTTATATAAGGGACTCAGCTTACCTTACATGTAAGAGTGTTTGGATGGCAAAAGTGGTGAAATTTATATGAGCTCTGTATGTCTTTTAAAATTTACTTGCATATAATATTCAAATAATTCCTTTTTTTACAGACAGTAAGACTTATTGAAAGTAGTCCAATTGAAGTTGACAAGATTAATCTGAAAAAAGCATCAGCCATGGCAAAAAAACACAACAGCCCAGGATATTCTCTATGCCTGAAAGTTATTCCTCTGCTCTTTTCTGATGAAGAACTGGCATTGTCCCGAGGACAGGGTTTTGCTAAGGCAAAGCCTGGTGACCTAAGGCCAAAACTCAGTAAGGAGAAGATAGAAGTGATGAAAGGTAAGCAGACCATCATTTACCGATAATACATTATCAAGTTCAGTTGAACTTCGGTATCTCTAATGCCAATATCCTGAATACCATGTATATGTGAAGGGATATGGAGGTTCTAATCACTTACTCTTCAAGTAATATTTTACACTCAGTATCTCAAATCTTCAGATATCTGGAATTTTTTCTCAGTCCCAATGAGTTTGAATTAACCAGGTTTGACTGTAAATTGCATATTTGTAGTAGATATTATAACCTTAAATTCGATATCAAAAATAAATGTGGACATTGTAAATGTACATTTCAGACTATGTTCAAAGCTGGTGCCTGAAACATGGTTTTAAAGTACCACTGGACTCTAAACTAAATGATGGTGTTACTGAAAGAATCGCTTACAGCAGAAAACTTCTGAAAAGAAAATCCAAGGACTGAGTGAAACATACATTTATACTCATACTTGAACTTGTAAAATTAGTCAGACTTCATCTTACCTATGCAGTCTGCTTTGATCATTTTTTTATGCTGCTTGTAAAAGGTATAAATAAAAATGATGTTATTATATAAGCTGAAGTCTGATATTATTTGTACCTATCAATACTTTTGAAATCTGGTGTACTAAAATTGATCATTGACATATATTTTAAAACCATACCCCCATCTAAATATAGTATTTGATTTTATAGCAATGTTAAATATAGGCATATTTTTTATAAAGGCGTATAATTTTTACAGGCGTATTTTTTTTACGGGTGTATTTTTTTATGGCCATGACTGATAAATTCTAGGCGTAATTCTGCTGTACAGGCGTATAAAATTTCCAGGCGTATTTTGAATTTCCAGGCGTACTCATTTACATATTTCGGCCAAAAATACGGGAGGATTACGCCTCGTGTACGCCCGTATTTCATATTTTACGCCTGCATTTTGTTTAAGATTCTGACTGAGATTTCCACCAGGATTTCAGGGATAAATACGCCTGGAAAATTTTGGAAAATACGTGAATGAAATTTCGTACGGGATATTCTGGCACTTCGCTACAAGCATGTTTTACTGTAGTCTGAAAATATATATTCACATGTTAAAATTGTATGTATTTCTTCTACAAAGTTTGAACAGAAAAATTATTAAAAACACATTACTTTCAAAGAAATGTCTACATACAGACAAACATGGTGATTCCAGCATAACCCCAAACTTTGTTTGCGGGTATAAAAAACAACTGAAATATATGTTTACCGGATTCTTGTTCTTCAGCTATGCTGGATGGTTGAAACAACCTGGGTGATTTTTCCTCTGGCATACACAACCAAACAGACTTTCGATAGCTTTCATTATATATACCTGAAATAAAGTCTTCAGTTGAAATTTTGATAGTATACGGGCATGTAGTCTACATTCTAAAGCATTCAGTTGAAGGAATTGGTGTAACAGTATGCATTTTAATTTTTAGGAGGGGATTTTTTATACAAAATGTTATTTTCAGTAAATTACTTACTTTTAAATTTACATCACATATATACCAAAGTGCATTTACTACATGTATTATATAAAACTACTACTTCAATCACTCATGATATAATAATTTATAAATACTGCATGAAGTTGAGTGTAACATTGAAAATTTTCACCCCAAGAAAACCATTGTCAACTGAGGCGCAGCCAAGGTTGACAATGGTTTTCTTGGGGTGAAAATTTTCAATGTTACACTCAACTACATGCAGTATTTATCATATTACACTGTACGTTTTATACAAATACCTATTACAGTGAACCTTGCATGCATAAATTCTGTGCAGTCAATATTTTTTGGAATATCACCCGTCGTCAAGCAATGTCGACTGTTTCTATGCTGGAGAGTGTGTCTTCATTATTCAGTGGGTAATAGTGTTTTTTAACAAATGCTTCTTGATGAATAAGATTCAACTAATTTACATGAAAGTATAATATTTGAAAATGACAGCTTTTCCATTGCAATTAATGCCAAAAACATGAAGTTGAATAAATCGACTGATAAACAGTGAGTATTAGTCCCCCCCCCCCCCCATCCTAACATATGGTGGTGTTGAGGTGACATGCTTAAAACATGGATTATAACTGGTGAATTTTCTTCTCTCAATAAAATCATGTACAATTAATGATATTTAATGTTGGGTCTATATAGGGAAATTTTAGTCTTAAGTACTTTTTAAGATTCTGTCAAATCTGTGACAAGTACTGCGAGTATTGATACACACAGGCATTGTATTTGTGTATGCAGGGAGTAGGTATAATGTGTATATTATTCATTAACAAGGAAGAGAAAAGTAATACTTAAGATAGGCCTACTACTTGCTTTTTATTTACATGTCATTCTACACATAAATAAATATGATTTGTCCTTGCTGAGGAAACATTATTTGAAATCTGCAATTGACCACAATTAAGCTATGTTATAGACCACTGACATCCATAAAGAGCTCTTATCCTGTTTATCTGGAAGTAAAATTATGACTATTTAAGAAGTACTGTAGTTTTTCTAAAATATATATATAACAAATTTGCTATCGCTTCCTGATTGATATATAAAAACAATTACGAATGCAATGGGACATGATGGCCAACTCAGTACCATGCTACAACATTTTCTTCATAATTATATAATTTTTACAAATAAAGCACATTAAAATGCAAGCATCCCCTGTTTCTCTGTCACAAGAGTATGTCCTACTAGGTCGAGAAAAAAAAAATGGAACATTGACCTAGTCAAAATAAATAGAGAGTTTAGTAGTTGGATATGGAATTTATTTCACAAGTGGGACAGGATTTTTTTGATATTTTCACAAATGCGAAGCACAAGTGAAAATATCAAAAAATCCTGTCACACGAGTGAAGTAAATTCCATATTACACTACAAAACATTGAATTTTCTGTTTATAACATTTTCTTTGATTTCTTTTAGCATCTGTCTTTTCTTAACACAGTGTCATAGGCTGTGACGTCATAGTTGAGTGGTTGAGACATCATAGTTTAGTATATTTTGTGAGATTGAAAACATTGTAACATGGATTTTAGCAACATATTTGGAAAGAAATTGGCAGTTTAGTCTCTATCAAGATGGTTTAGTTACTATCTCTATCTCATGACAGGCCAGATATTATTTTGTACTTACTTAGATATCCTTTCACACTGTGATAGAATATCATTTTGTTTTTTATCAAGTTTAAGCTTCTAATGTACATTCCTCCAATTGTGAGCCATTATCTCTTTGAGTTTAAATAAGTCTTCGAATAACTTTGATCTTGTCCACATGACGGGTTTGCCGTGGGTATTACCTTTAATCGGCCCTCTATATATACTTTTTTTTTAATCCATGAGCATTAAATGTTTCTTATGTTTTTGTAGGGGCTAGCCGGATTTATACAGCATACACTTTATTTTTATTACTAAAAGGAGACGGATCAACAAGGCGCACAGAATGCCTATAGCTTCAGATATATAAAAATCATAATCAATTTGTAAATTTAGTATTTAGAGTAAAGTTCTCATTATTGAAATTAATGAAATTATGATAAAAAACTTTTCTGAGGAAAATTTTATTGGCAAAAATTATTCTGTTATTAACAAAATAATGTGGTATTCGTGGGGTTTGAATCCTAGCAATAAAAATCCTGAGTATCATTTTCATTTGAGACGAACACACTAACCACTACACTACACAGCTCTTGAAGAAATGTGGCATTTAAATCATGTTTGTGATATGACCCTTTACTAAATGGACTTAAGTATTTCTCAGAAAGATGCGAATGTTGTCTCATAAAAGTGTATTTCTAAGGAATAGTGGGTCATTGCTCCATGTTTTTGTTGACCAAAAAATGTATATTTTTTGGCAAACTTTGAGGATCATTACTTTGAAAAATATGGAGTGAAGACCCACTCATATCGAAAAATTGTGTTTTAGTATGAGAAAATGATCCTTTTTGCCCTCTCTAGTGAGTGTATGCTATTTCATAGGCATATAATTTCAATCTTAGTGAGATTATTGCAAATTGTGACGATTTCACATAAAGTATATACTTTAATTTTTAATGAAATATCAAAGAAAATTTTGTTGTAATTGAGAATTAATTTTTCACCTTCATGTTTGTTGCACTATAGGCATTGCGCTCGACTTGTTCACCCATCTTCTTTCTTAAATTTTCAATAATGATTTTCAATGTACCAAAAATTTACTACTGTGCATATACACATGCATAATTTATGCTCTTATATAATCACTCTTATGTGAAGCAGATCAAATCTGACATGATTATTCTTGAATTCAGTTCAGGAATTTCTGCATGCATGATTATACCAACAACTAGAAACTCATTACTAGTAATGAGAAGGTCTTCCGTTATACGACTTCCTGTTTGCATGAACATGTCTTTTCCAACGTCGGTATTAGCCTAAAACTTATGTAGAAACAAAATAACTTAAAAAATACTTTTTTGCTTCGTTTCCTCTCACGACCGGAAGTAATGACGACACACGATTTTTACACCAAGCAAATGAACTGATGACTGACTATAAGTCCTGAAAGTTTTAGAGTTCAGTCTTTTACTGTTGCCGAACAATTGTGAGAACAAATTCTAATTTTGAGGACAAGAAAACACACGACCGGAAGTGAACTGAATAAAAATCTCTGAATTTTCTCTTGACTTTTGCAGTATCTACAGCATATGTAAAAAAAAAAACAAAAAAACATTTCAATTACTTATCTATAAGTGATATTTATGAGAAAGCTAAACCACGAAATAACGTAGTTTATCTTTTAAAACCGGAAGTTTAAAGTTTTTTTCCGGTGGAATTTAACATATTTTAAAACAGCGAAAGGGAAGCAATAAAGTGATGAAAATTTTAATTTTAAAAAGAAAAGTTGAAATTTTCGATTTCTTTGATCACTTCCTGTGATGACCGGAAATGACGGCTGACGCTTTTAACCCTATGTGTTTTGCCTTCTCACCAAGTTTTATTACTCCTACAAGTTTGGTGTTTTACTTTCATGCCGTTTCCGAGATCTCGCTGAAATAACTTTTCATTTTGTGGACAAGAAAACACGCGACCGGAAGTGAATTTTATTAAGATATTTCATGTCAATCTAGACAACTGCAGTCTCAATAACATATATAAAAATCATTTAAAGAACTCTATCTATAAGCGATATGTTGGGGAAAATTCAAAACCCCTATTATGTAGTTTTTCTCTTAAAACCGGAAGTTGTCGTTTTTTGTTTCCGGTGGAACCAAGACATCTCGTAACTGTGAAAAAGATACAATTATATGATGCAAGTCTTATTTCAAAAGAGAAAATTTGAAATTTTCTATTTCTTTGGTCACTTCCTGTGACGACCGGAAGTGACGACTGACGCTCTTAAGCCAAATTGTTTTGTCTACTTCTCAAGGTTTAATACTCTTATCAGTTTGGTGTCTAAATCTCTTACCGTTTCTGAGATCTCACTCGGACAAGTTCTCATTTTGCGGACATTTAAACGCGCGACCGGAAGTGAATTTTACAAAGATATTTGACGTTACTCTAGACATTTGCAGTCTTGATAACATATTCAAAAATCAGTTCAAATACATTATGTATAAAAAATATTTATGGGAAAGTAAAATACTCAAATTATGCAGTTTTTCACTTATAGCCGGAAGTTGACGTTTTTGGTTCCGGTAAGACTAACATATTTCGAATCTACAAATAAGATGCAACAATGTAATGAAAGAAAAAAATCAAAAAAGAAAAGTTGAAAATTTCGATTTCTTTGATCACTTCCTGTGACGACCGGAAGTGACGGCTGACGCTCTTAACCCAAATGGTTTTGCCTACTCCTCAAGATCTATTAACCGTATAGGTTTGGTGTCTTAATCTCTTACCTTTTCTGAGATATGACTGGGACAAAATATTTTTGAAAAAAACGGAAATCGGACATATCTGACGACCGGAAGTGAATTTTGAAAAAATGAAAAAAACGCCTAGGGGTATTTTCATTCTCTATCATCCCTGAAAATTTCAAGAAAATCCGTCCAGCCATCTCTGAGAAAACGCTCCGACAAGAAAAGGGGAAAAAAAAAATAATAATAAAAAGAAACAGTAGAATCACTATAAGGTCTTCCGTCTGAAACGGAAGACCTTAATTATTCTATGGAGAAGCTTCATGTTTGTTAAAAGTTATCAAAAGTTAGAGCAACAACTTTGTTCAAATCCAGAAATAAAGAGCTTGCTATTCGACTGATAGAAGCAAATATGGGTTGAAATGTGATCATCAAGTAAAGTTTGTTCTGGACAGAAACTCCGACGACATCTACTGAATATACCGAGGACAAATTAGAGAAAGGATTTCTGGTTCTAATGAAAATTAAAGGTGCTTCACAGGTCCCCTTAAAAACTAAAATCTGGAACTTCAACCTGTTACCCATATGGGACATGTCAAAAAGAAAGCTCCTGTAGCATGACAAGGTATAGTTTGTCCTGAAGTAAAGGCTCTACATGTATACTTAATATCTGTAACGTAATGCATTTCCAATATCTGACTAAATTCTCAACATTTATATAGCATAAAGACAGTATATATACGAGGAAAGTTAGATTTCTTCTTTCTTTCTTTTTTCTATTTTTTTTTTGAAGGCTGGGAGGGATTTACTAAAAAGTAAAATGTCTGAATTTGGGTTTAGTCTTTGATTGACATTCACTATCTTTTTTTCCTTGTTGATGAACCCTTATGATCTAAAAACTCAATCTCTAAGGGAGGAAGTAGAACATCAGACATAATTAAGGAAACTTCAAAGTTTAATATACATCTAAGGTTGTCTACTTTTGTGTTCATTGGTCTAAAAATAAGTGGAGAAATATTTAAAAGGCAAGCTGCTGCATTCCTCAAAATCCACTTACATTTACACAAGTATCATGATTGTACATTCTGTCTTGTTTTAAAAATACAGGAGTATATTCAATGCTCAAATAATTAATGTGCTGAATAAAAAAGTACATTATTTATGCTAATACAACTGAGAGGTGACTAAACTAAACTTAAACAATTAAAGCCACACCCCAACCAGAGAGAAATTTGTGACACCTGCATACTTATCAATAAGAACTTTCCCTTTAATGTTTATGTATGTTAGTTTTCTCATGAATATTTAAGATAAATGAGCAGCAATAATGTACAAGGAAATGATCATCCAGTTATGCGGAGTGAGCTGGAACTCCCATCACTTTTTCTTTTAACCTCATTATCTCAAATCCTTGGATTTTCAGCCCTATTGCATGTGAGATAACCAGGTTTTGACAGTATATATCATAATGTAGACATTTGCTCATCTAACGCTTGATGCAAATGTTTCAAGCAACAGTTACCTGTAAACATGTTTCAAAAAAAGCAAATATATGTGGCAGTTACACATTGTCACTAGGTCCCAGATAGCCAGTTGGAAACACATCTGTTGTTAGTTCAAGAACCCAGGTTTGAATCTTGGTCTGTCACATTTTCTTACTTCCTAGAATACTTTTGTAACTGTAACAGAAAGGAAGAAAATGTGGCAGATCAGACTACGATTTAAACCCAGGCCCCCTGAATCTCAAGTCAGGTGATCTACCAACTGAGCAATCTTGTTACCGGCGATCCAGCCTGTCTGATGGTCACATTCCTCCCTCCTTTAAGGTATTCACCCCAGAAGACCATAACCCAGACTCCTTCACCTGTCACTTCCATGGTATGGTGATGGCACCAAATGTAACAGATAATATGACAGACCAGACTAGGATTTGAACACGGGGCCCCTGAATCACCAGTGAGGTGCTTTACTAACTGAACTTATCTGGCAACTGGCGATCAAACCTACCTGCCACAATTCAATGAAGATTACACTTCTATATATTACTATTATTGCCTTATTAAAAATTCCCTTACCTGTGTCTTCATCTGAGGAATCTTCTGAATTATCCTGAGAATTACTCGACACATTTTGTTGTCGCCTGAGAACTTTGCTTTGTTCCTTTGTGGGACTTTCTGGATTATACTGGCTATCTTTTATATTGTCACTAATGCTATTGTCATTGCCTGAGATGGAATTGACATTCAATGAATTAGACTTCTCTGAAGTCTCACTAACTATGGAAAGCTTGTTGAAAATTTTGTCCTCTTCCCCTGTTACTATGACAACACTGTCATGGTGATGTGGATGCTGACCATCTTCCATATCCTTCAGGAAATCAAAAGCATCACTTACAACCTCTCCAGTTCTCCTTGACTGGTTCACTTCTTCCCTGTCTACAGAAGAGGAATTACAAGCTGCAGACAAAATGCCCTTCGAATCTGAACACTTAGTTTCTAAGGATTTATGAACAAAGTTATTTACATCCACATTTCTATGTTTTCTCATCACAACCTGTTCATTTTTAGAGTTGCTTTCATTACATACACAATGGTTTATGTCATGACAACTACAATCAGACCTTTGTTGAGCACTTGATCTCTCATTAGTCATTTCATCATGTAACTTCATCCTTTCACCCTCAGTAGAGTCCTTAATGGGGCTTCTTGCTGAGGATACATTACATTCATGTTTCAAACCAGCTCTCATGGCATGATCATTTAATTTGTTGGCACTATTTTCCAACATTGATCTGGGCTCATTATTCCAATTTTCTGAATAATTCTTGGTTTTGCTGAAAGACTTTTCAGGGGGACCTTTATTATCTACATAGGTGACAATGGTAAACTCCTCATTTTCACCATTTACCAAACCGTTATGACCACCATAGCAAATTTTTTCAGATTTGGCTTCGTCAAAGGCCGTTCCTAGCTGGTATTCCTTGAGAAAGCTGAATGCCTCACTGATGCTTGATGGATTTGCTCCGTGACTGGTCTGTGCCATTACATTGAGTCTTGAGTGTCCTACATCATGAGAAACTAGAAAATTCCAAGGAAGAAATTATAACCATATAAAAGATTTATCTAATTTTATAAGATGTATAGATAATATCACTTGTGCAAAATTTCTGTGCATACTAACTTAGTGCATATGGTACAAAGTTTAGTTGTTTTTTTAAAATAACCACATTTCACAAAACAAAATACCGGTACAAACATACATATAGCTTTTCTAAAATTTACAATTATCACGATAAGAAAATGAACAAAAGATCAATTGTGAGTAGCATTTGAAAGCATCATCCTTAAAATCATAATGGTTGGTAGTCACTCCAGTGACAATTCCAATTGTTACCCTCAGTTATACTTCATGTATACTTTATTTCTGAAGCCAATTTGAAAGAACTAAGATTTGGAAATGGTTATCAATAGCCAGGTAATTGGTCCAATTTAATGACTTATCTACCATATATGCCTGTATGCCAAAGCATTTATGAAAATGCATCATCAAATGGGAGGGGGTATCATTTTGTGAGACCAGTGCTCACTGCTCACAGTACCTCTAGTTTAAATTTAATTTGAAGAAAAAGCTGAAAAATAAAATAAGCCATTCTCTAAGTCTCTTAAAATAATGTCTATGATGTGCACTACAATCATTAAAGAAGTTAAAAAGTATGTCTAATTATTAAAATCTGTATTAGATGTACATGTACATACTTTGTACAAGTTTCAAAGACTGAACTCCTAACTCAAACTTCAATACATTATGTCAATTTTATTCTTTGATTAGGGCAGCATTTAAATATTATGTGAATTCAATAGAATTGCAGGAATAAGGTATGGTATGAACAGTTTTATATACCCATGTAGACCATTCAGGTAAATAATGTCCCTACACATACAACCATTTTACCTAATAATAAACTTGATCATTTGATTATTAAGTGTCATTCAAAGCCATCAGAAAAGGGGTATTTGGGTCAATCACACTCCTTTTTTATAAAAACCTTGAAAATACATGATCATTTTTGAAACAAAATAAATTAATTATTTATCTTTTTGATAAAATGTTTCTAGAATTCCTTATCTAATTAAATTTGTGCAATAATGACTTCAAGAATGCACTAGATCCCACCAAAATGGAAAAAAAACGACTATGGGAAAGGGGTACCCCTCCCAGACCATCCTCAGTGCCACCCTTTCCAGAAATCTGGCCATGGACCTGACTGTATGTGTCTTTTTATTTCATTTTTAATCACAAAAAAACTTCCCCAGTACATTTTCCCTTTATGTATATGTTATTTATGAATTATATAATTAATTTTACAGAGGACTGCATGATCACAGGACTACCTGTCACAACAGTTATATCACGTATCATTATGCTTCATTTGTACTGTTAATTGCTTTATCCACTCACAATCTTCGAGTTTGTTAAGCTTAATACAAAAAATTTCGTAGATTAATGGCTTCTAAAGAGGCAACAAAATTTCATGAATAAATTCTTTAAAAAATTAGTAGAAATAATTCATATACCTGTAACATACTTGTAATGTCAGGAAAATCAAAGTAATTGGTAAGGGTATAGTTCTATTGCTGTTTAGTCCAATAGCCAGGTCATTTTGAGTAATAGCTGTTATGAATATATAGTAGGTGATGGGGTTCTGAGAACAGTCTTGCATTTAACGAGGTTCGTTCCTGAGCTTTTGGGCAGATTTTTGTGTAGACCTCTATCTAAAAAATTCTGCATAATGTTTTAGTTCTTACAATAAATTTGGATTCTGCAATGCTAATTTAACTATATATTCAATTAAAACCCCATGATTAAATTCCATACTGAAAGCATTAAGTTAGGAACTATATTTTGTTGCGAAAGGTTTTATAGAAGAAAATGATCAATTTTTCTCATTCGAAATATTTACAGTCTTGTTAAGTTTGGATTCCTATTTTTACATGCAGTCTGCACACAAAGTTATTTTGAGCAGTGAAATGTTTTATGCTGGTCCTAAACAATATATAAAATTAACCGTCATGAATTCTGTCATCATATTGGACAAATATAACAAATATATTGTGAAAGTCCTGGGAAAAAAATAGCCCATTTTAGGCTAAAAATTAGCACTATTTTAGTTATATCTAAAAATTAACATCACAGACCCCCACTTTTAATTTTATTTTCTGAATAAACAACATAATTTTAACTATTCTGTTTAAACTCAGAAAAATGTCATTACTCTCAAATGATTTTATTGCTTGTTAAATTTTTAATGCCAGAAAAATGACATTTTTTGAGTGCAAAAAGGTCAAATAATTGACTATGCGAAGTAATTTAAAACTTTTTTTGTTGTCACAAATTTTAAAGAGACTATTCAAGACGAAAAAAGTCTGTATTTGTTCCCATACTTTATTTGGATAAAAATTATTAGAGGAAAAACTTTGAAAAATTGATTTATGTGTTAGACGTAATTACAGTGCAAAAAGGTCATATTAAATGCTCCGTATCGCCGAAAAAAGCGCATTGACCCCCATTTTTGGTTTTGATTTTTAATTAAGCTATGTGTCTAGATTCCAAAAATATACCTGATAAAAAATTCTCAATACTTTTGAGAACAGGATCCAACCTCCTTAAGTATGGAAATTTTCATTCATGACTGGTTGCTTCCCACTCCCTCCAATTTGTTTCAGTAAAATTGAACTGAAAATTTTAATATTAACCCCCGTTCCACAAAAAAGGATTTACTGAGTCATCAAAGTAACCCCTCCCCCCCCCCAGGTTTTTCAAATTTGACAATGCAGATTTTTTATTGCTAGCAAATTACCGCCTCCCCCTTTTCCCCAACAATGCGAATGAGTCAACTCACCTATCTTTTATTTTTATGTCCTTATAATCTCCCCTTGTATTCTACTTTATTCAAGAATGCTTTGAAAGAAGAAGCAGTCAATTCATTTCTGAAATAATTGTAAGTTCGACTGAGAAATGAAAATACCAAACAAATTTGAATCAGGTGAACCCAGACCAGGTGAGCCACCAAGGTATGGAACCATGGGTGCCTGAAGACACCTACCCTACATCTACCTCATACACTACTTTCTTCATAAACAGCTATATTTTATGTGTAATATATACATTGTATGATTCTATATACATGCATATTAAGAAGCTCTGTCGTATGTATAATTTTTGACTGACAGTGATAGATTTGTTTAAATTGAACTTAAAAATCTTCCACATGATATTGTCAACATTACAGCTCTAGAAGTAGGTCACAATACTAAAAGACACGTCTTAATTTATTCAGAATTTTAATTTAAAGAAATATCACGCTAACCTTCCAAAACTAAACATTTTTCAGAAGTCATTTTCTTCTTTTTTTTTCCACAAAAAACAAAATGTGGTAAGACCCAAGTCCCCCTTACCTTATCAGACGACGACAGGCTTGTTTACGCTCTACTACACACGATACACTTCCTGGTTTTAATTTAGATTGGTTTAAGTTTATCTTTTTAGTATTCTAAAACGGAACCAGTTTCGTTATTGAAAAATCAATGTTCTTGCGCGAGCAAAATAGCTAGCTTCACTTCCTATCGCAGTGTAGAAAACCAGACCTTTTTATTCAACTGACTCACCAAAAATATCCGTATAACCAAAGTTAACGAATAAACTAAATTGCTAGTAATTAAAACAAGGAATTCCATAATCTAAAAATAACGTTATTATAGTTGGTGAAGTATCATTCATTCAAAGGGAAAAGGCAACAGCGCCCCCCCCCCCCTTTATTCATCAGTCCAACGTATCTTTACTTAATTTGTTTCCCTTCAACACTCGTAGTGGTTTTTTTGTTTGTTTGTTTTTTTTTTGTTTGTTTGTTTGTTTTTGTTGTTGTTTTTTTTGTTTTTTGGTTGAAAAATTAAAATATCACTGTCTGATTGAATGAAGGTTTAAATCTAAGTCATATATATATAGACACTCCCCACTTATTATAAAATATGAAGATAACGAACAGTAATTAAGCTAAATTTAAGTCCATTAAACAAATACAGAATGGGAGGAGCAAACACGGACCTCTTAAAATACCAGAGGTGGGACATGCGCGGATCTAGAAGAGGGGGGGGGGTCCGGACCCCCCCTCCCCCCTGGAATTTGCACAGTTATTAAAAGTATATACAGAAGCAAATAAAAAATGACTTTGGACCCCCCTAGAAAACGTGGACCCCACCATCGCCACCACGAAATAGATGTTTTTCACGTAGAGAAATGGAATTAGGTGGGGGTTTTTTTTGTTTTTTGTTTTGTTTTGTTTTTTTTTTTTTTTTGCTCGTCAAGAAATTTTTTGGTTGGAAATTTTTTTGACTAAGGTGGAAACACCCCCCCCCCCCCGAAAAAAATCCTTGATCCGCGCCTGTGGGTAATCCACGGGAGAGTCGCATCGATTCTCTCAAGGACTCCATGCGCGGATCTAGAGGGGGGTTCGGACCCCCTCCTGGAATTTGCAGAGTTATTAAAAGTATATTCAATTCAATTCGTTTATTGATCAATTAAGGGCCCTCATGGGGCAAAAAGAAAGTACATTGTTAAAATGTATATAATGATTATGATCATACACACGAAATACAATATACATATATATAAGAGGGAAAGAATTGCATATGAAAAATGATTTCAGACCCCCCATAGAGAACGTGGACTCCACCAGCACCACTACGAAATAGGTTTGTTAACACATTTGGGACAAGTAAAATTGATGCAAAGCATTAAATCTGCCGCAAAAATATACCAACTTAGCATTTTAAGGAATTTTCACAAAAGAGAATCCGAAGAAAAATTTCAAAATAGAAAAATTACATGTATGTGGTACATTTCTTTTGCACACTGTTCCATTGCCCTACCTTTTCTGTTCATTTTTTAAACTTTAATTTTCAGTGTGATCAATCAAAATAAATAAACTTATGGAAATAAAAATAGAATTGCTCGCAGTAAAAAATAGTATCATAATAAAATTATTTGATTCAAAGACTTATCGAAAATTACTAAT